TGCAACAAGTGGCCAGTTGTCAGCGGCAGTTCGGAGGAGGAGAAGGCGGTGTTCAATAAGAAGATTTTTTGCTGACTGTTTGTTTTTGTTGTTGATGCTGTTGTTGTAATTTAGAAAGATCTCATCTTTGAATAATGATAATAAATGTTTTTTGCTATTTTTTGTTATTTTACTTGACTTTATCTTACTTTACCTGTTTTACGGCACTTTTTTTCTTCTTCTTCATCATCTCATTATTCTCTCTCCCCTCTTCTTTATTATAATTATAAAACAAAAATTAATCTCTTTTTTTCTTCTTCTTCTCTCTTGTTGCGGCTTTGTAAAGCACTGGACACTGACTGTAGCATCACCATCAGCAGCAGCCAGATTGACTGTTGCTGTTGCGAATAAATTATCCTCTGCCTGACCTCTCTTTCCTCAAACTGATTCCCTTCCCCTTCTATCTCTCTCTTTCTTCAACTACTACCACTTTTTTGGTGCAGAAGAAGTGAAGCTGTTGCTGCCTGTTGCTGCTGACTGGTTGTCGTAAATTAAAAGCAGCAGCAGCTCCTAAGGCGGCGGCGGCAGCAGTGGCCAAAGTGCACACACACACAATGCAAAAACTGAAGGGAAGGAGATGCTGAGGATCTACTTGATTGCAGGCAACGATAGCCACTTCTCCTTACCACCGTTCTCTTCTCCTCGAAAAGAAAATGTGGAATTTAATTAAAAACTCTGCTCGGATTAAGACGACAAGGAAGATGAGAGGACGAGGAGAGTGGGTACCCTCTCACACTCACTCACACACACACACACTGATTGGCTGCAGCCCTTTCTCCGGCAGCAACAGCACCTGAACCTGCTTAAAAGATCGCACTGCAAACAGCGAAAAGATTCTCGCTGTGACGCTGTCTCACTTGCCACCCGCAGAGATCCTTAGTCTTCCTTTCCGACTTGTGAGGAGTGATCGGTCAGTCTGTTTGATTGCAAGCACACACACACACCTGATCAGAAGTGGCAATCAAACAGAGGGCAAAAACTTTTGGTCACCAGGTGTGCTGCTGCTTGAACGCACAGGTGCTGAGTCGATTTGAGTTGGCTGAACTTTCGATTTTTTTTCAAGAAAGACACTAGGTAGTGCTAATGTTTATTTTAATATGATAAAATTTGATAGCAGGAATTGGAAAGTGTGTACATTGTGAACAAAGGCAGGTAAATAAATAAATTGGACAAAACAATGAGGATAAAGTGGTTGTTTTCTGAAAATGCCACTAGTACATGGCTGAAGGATAACCAGCACCAGCGCCACCAGCACCACCATTACCGACACCTCCATTGCCATAAGCAGCCGAACGACCTCCTTCACCACCACCTTGGGCAAAAGAGTGTCCGTTACCAATTCCAGCACCAGCACCGCCAAAACTTCTGCCGCCAAAACCTCCACCTCTTGCGCCAGCAAATCCACCGTTGCCGCCTCCACTACCACCACCAGCACCACCAGCACCACTACCGAATCCGCTATTATTGCCGCCATTATCAGCACCATCGAATCCTTCACCACCACCACCACCACCTCCTTGAGGACCATTGAAGTTGTTGCCACCGTTACCGCCATTGCCACCACCGCCAAATCCGTTGCCATTACCTCCGCCTTGAGCACCTCCTCCTGCTCCGAATCCTCCTTGACCTCCTCCTCCATTTTGAGCAGCTCTGGACACCACCGTTTGCACCTCCTCCATCAACGGCTGCACCTGCTGACGAATGCGCCGGATCGGCATGACGATCTCTCTGATTTCACTTATTACTATTAAAGGAAACGAAAGAGAGTTTAGGGTAATTACAAAAACATCTTCAATCAAAACTCACTTGGCTTGGTCACCGTCAGCACGCGAATGTGCGGCTCGTCGGTGGACTGACTGGACTGGAAGCTGCCCCGTCCGCCCGAGTGCTGGCTGTCAATGTTCACCGGACTGGAGGTGGAGCGGAAGACCAGATTCAGCGGAGTGGGCTGAGAGTCGACGTAGACGTTGTTTGGCCTGACGTACGATCGAGGCGGAACGGGCACGTCGCGGTACTGCACCGGTCGTTGGCTGCTCATCACCGCCAGTGAGTTGCTGGAACCGTAGTTGCCGTTGCCGGCTCCTTCCATTGAAGAGTATCCTCCGTCGCTTCCACCACCGATGTTGCCATTTCCATAGGAGAGACCACCGCCATTATTGCCGCCAGAATTACCGCCACCGTTTCCGTAGCTTCCGGCACCACCTCCTCCTCCTCCTCCTCCGCCACCTCCACCTCCATAGGCTTTAACCGTTGAGATGACGGTAATGCAGAGAAAGACGACCTAAAGCAATAGAAAAAAGAGGAGTGTGATTGGTTTTATAAAGATTAAGCTGTAGAAACTGTCTTACTTTAAAATGCATGGTTTTCTTGCAAGTTTGTAGTTAAAGTGATAGTCAAAAGACGATGTTCAGAAGAGTGTTAAAAGCAAAGCACTGATTGAGTTTTTCATATGGCAAGATGGCTGTTTTTATATATCTCCAAAAGTTGGGCAAATGAAAAAAAGGACAAAAATTCATCTGAAACATCTCTCTTTTTAACATTGTTCACCTTTTTAGCAGCATTTCTAGAGCGATATGATCTCTCAATCGACTTGATCACTTAATTGCTGCACGCGGGTTTCTATTTTCTTCTCCTCTTTCTTTCAACCGACATTTCACGACTTTGCACGTGTTGACCATTTACATAAAAAGGCATTTTTCTGCTGCTTCTGGTCAAGCACTTCACTTGTCATCTAATATTTTCCATTTTTGCTACTGTTCTCTTTTGTTTCTTCTGATCTTGTATCTCTTGTTTATTTGTTCATTGTCCACGGTTTACAAGCACAAAACACCACTTGAATACTTGATGAGCTAAAAGGAGCGAGGATTTGCGCGGTGTCACCACCTGTGCAAAAGAAGAAAACGATGCTGCGGATGCCGCTACTGAAATAAAAAAAACCAAACAGCAGCTTATTTGCATTTGTCAAAAAAGTGTGTGCTTTGCGATAAAAAACTAAAAGAACACTTGCAGCAGCAGAAGCATTAGTCGATTGATTTACTGTTTGTGCAGCTTTTCCGTGTAGTTTGTGGTGCCCTTTTCCTTTTCCTTCTCCTCCTCCTCTGCTTATGCACCAGAAATCCTCTTTCATTTAGTTGGCCAGCAACAGCAACAGCACTGCTTTTGAAAAAGTTCACACACACACGCACACTAACTAAAAGGATTAGGTGAGGTAATATAGCTGCTGTAGTGAGCTGTGGACACATACACACACAGGTAATAGAATTTCCTGAGCACAAATTCACTGAATTACACGGGCATTAGTATTACACTGCACACACATTCGGTTAATCATATTTGCCGAGTGCTACTGCTGCTTTCTTGTTTTTTCCCTCTCTCCATTTTTTGCTGGAGCATTACGTGCTCTGGCGTGAAAGGGCAATCGACGACAGTTTAGCACTAGCACAATCGCCGTTTGACTGTGAGTTTTGAGATTGCCCAGCATTTTCACCGCCATTTGCACGTAACCGAGTGCCGATTCACAGAGTGCTCGGATTATGAAAGCTAAATGAACATGTCAGAGCAGCCATTTCCATTTTGGCAATTGATTCTGAAGTGAGCCGCCATTGACCATAACTCACCAGTGCAAAACGAACAATCAATTAGCAACAGCAACGGCAGCAGCAGCATTCTAATAAGGCGCTAAATAAGCTGGAAAAATGGTTCGGACATCATCTCGGCCATCTCAGCTCATCACCAGTTGCAGTACACAGCACCACAGTACAGCAACAAAGACAACAAAAAACTGACGCCATGTCTGATGTTCCGTGCCAAAATGCCATCGTCAACGTCTCAGCTGACATGAGCTTCTTTCCGGTGACCAGACAGACAGATTAAGAGTAGCTGGGAGCAAAATGAACAACAAAAATGATTTGCAGTTTGAGTGCAGCATCTACTGCTGCAGCAGCCGCTGATGATGACGACCTTGGCCGATCGGCGGCATTGCATTGCCGTTTTGGTCGCTGTTGCTGTTGTTGCCCAAGACGGCCTAACCCACTTGCCCCACTTCTCACATCTCCNCTTTTCCTCAAGAAAGTCACTGTCACTGTCTGCCAACCTTGAATCCTAGCAACAGCAGCAGCAGCAGCCGCATCAGCAGCGATGATGCTCTATTCTTGTTTCGATTTGCCGTCATCATGAGTTATATAGCCCATTTCTAATGGTGATGGTGATGAGTAGTGTACTGCTGATGCAGCAGCAGCAGCAGCAACAGCAGTGCTCTTTTGCTCGCCGGCCACTTCCAACTTCTAAAAGAAGAATGAAAATTCTTGCTAAAAGCGAGTGTTCTAGTCGATTCTTCCCCCCTCTCTTCTCGCTGGTTTTCCCATTGTGTTGTTGCCCAATGAAAGCAGCGTTATCATTTAGCTGCAGCAAAACTGGGAAGTTATCTTTCTTTTAACAAGTTAGAGGCCACAAAAGTGAGGGGAAATTTCAAATAAAAAGCAACCCTAAAAAGAAGAAGGGGAATGCAAAATTTCGTTGTTTTGAAGCAGCAGCAGAATTTGTAAGTGTAATTCAATCGAACCACTCTGTACCCTCTCTCTCTCCTCAGTGTACCGGTGGCTCTGAGCGGATGCATGCGCCCTGGCACTAGTCAGAAGTGTCTCCCCTCGTTTCAAGGTTGCCGCATGGCGCTCAGTGTGTCCTCTGCTCTGCTCTGCTCTGTTCTGCTCTCCGGCCTGGTCTGGTCAGTGCAGGCAGGCACTGGCTATATACCGCTGCCGTCGCCCCAGCAGCACCAGCACCGGTAACCGTGGTGGTGGTGGTCGTCGTCGTTCCAGTGGTGTTCCTTCTGCTCGATCCAAACACACACTCAGTTTTGCACTTTCTCAGTGACGTGATTTGCCTCACTCGGCGTCAGCTTTCCTCCTTTCCTTTCCCTTCCTTTGCTGCTGCTGCTGCTGCCGCTGCTGGTGACCTATTTAGAACCTGCATGGCCGTGTATTCTNTTTCCTTTCCTTTGCTGCTGCTGCCGCTGCTGGTGACCTATTTAGAACCTGCATGGCCGTGTATTCTCTGACTCCCAAGCACTCTCTCCCTCTCTTTCTCCTTCTCTAACTGTGTACAAGAAGAAGAATCGTAATTCCTGAAGCAGAAACCGTTTGGTGTGTGTGTGTTGTGTTGTGTGTTGTTGCAACATTTGTCTGTTTTCCCTGTTTGAGCAGATCAATGAAAGAATCAGTTTCACATTCGCATCTTTCAGCATCTCAGTGTCGTCATTCAGTGCATCACCTCCGCCTCCTCCGGAATTTTCTGTTCTTTACTTCTATTTTATAAGCTTCGAAAGTGACAGTTTCCAGTATATCGGTGATTTTGATTTATCATTCTCTTCCCCAGCATCATCCGCCAGTGTGTCCACCGTAGTCCATCATGCAGAGTAGCCCGACCTGNGCCGTTTGGTGTGTGTGTTGTGTGTGTTGTGTTGTGTGTTGTTGCAACATTTGTCTGTTTTCCCTGTTTGAGCAGATCAATGAAAGAATCATTTTCACATTCGCATCTTTCAGCATCTCAGTGTCGTCATTCAGTGCATCACCTCCGCCTCCTCCGGAATTTTCTGTTCTTTACTTCCATCTTCTTCAAATCTGAAAGTGACAGTTTGCAGTTTACCAGTGATTTCCTTTTATCATTCTCCCCATCACCATCCGCCAGTGTGTCCACCGTAGTCCATCATGCAGAGTAGCCCGACCTGCATTCAGTCTGCCACCCTAGGATCATGAACTTTCTGAAGAAGAAGATCAAGACTGTGGTTCACGGTGGAAAACGCAACAAGGACGACGACGATGATGACTTTGACAATTACATACCTGAAGTGCCGCCGCATCCGTCGACTCTGAACTCCGAGACGCCCAACGGAGCAGCCGCCGCTGCATTCGCATCTCCCTCGAACTTTACCACCAACTTTGCCAACTTTAACCAGCAGACGAGCAACTTTAATCCCTCCTCTGACCCCAGCGCCTCTTTTGGCTCTTTCTCATCACAAGTGCCACTCCCTCTTCCAGTCTTACCAGGCGATCTGCCCGCTGAGGGCGAAGAATCCGAACAGGAGAAGCTCTCTCTCGAGGAGCTCAAGGCAAAGGAGGCGGAGCACAAGCGCGCCGAGAAGGAGAAGCTCAAGGCCGCCGAGGACGCGAAGAAGGACAACGCCGAGTGGGCGTACTTTCTCTCGCTGACCGGCAAGGTCGACGCGCTGACCACCAAGACACAGTCAGTGCTGACCAAGCTAAAGGACGACAGCGCCATCGAGGAGATTCGCAACCTCGAGGACGCCTACCTGCCCGCCGGTGGGCCGGAGAACGAGCAGAAACCAGTGCTAGTGAACGTGGTGGCCGTCGCGCCGGCCGCGCCCAAGCCCAAGGCCGCCGGTGGTTGGGCCGCCTTCGAGGAGGAGGCCACCTTCAACCCGGCTGATCCCAACTGGAGTGCCCAACAGCAACAGCAAGCTGGTAAGTTTGTTTAAGATTTCTAGAAACTCTAGAAAGTAGAAATTCTTACCTGTCTTTTTGTTGTCTGTTTACCTAACACCAACACAACAAGCAGAGCAAGCGGCGCCCATCGTAGTGGACGAAAAGATTGCCCGCGAGCTGATCGACGACTTTGGCTTCACCAGCCTGGCGCCGGGCCTAGCCCCTGCTTCTTTGGCCGCCCCCCTGGAAGCGCTCTCACTGGTAGCAGACGACAGCGCCCCTGAGGTCGACCCCTTCGACACCTCCTTCATTGACATTGAGGCGATCAAGAGCGGCGCCGCCCTGCCGCAGAAGCCCACTGAGCTGATTCAGAACTTGGACTTTACCGAGGCGGAGTTTGATCCCTTTGACACTAGTCACATTGCGCCGGAAGTGGCGGTTAGTAAAAAGGAAGAGGAAGAGGACGTCAAGGTAAACATTGCCGAACTTTGGCTTTTCCAAAAACTAAAATATTTTTGTTTCTCAAACCGCAGTAATAACTTCACTTTCATCGTTAGTAGTAAACACACACAAACACACCCATCTTTCATCACCAAGTTTAACTTCATCATCACCACCACCATAATGTCGAATCCTTTTCTCGTCGACCTCGACGATAACTACACGCCCTACACCTCGGGCATCAGTACGCCCTTCTCAGGAGCGGCGACGCCCACCACAAAACGGCGCAACTCGACGAATCCGTTTGAGATTCTGTCGCCAGAAGGTGACGAGCCGCCGGTGACCTTTACACTTGATAATGAAGCGCTGCAGTCGGCGGCAAATGAGATCAACAACAATAACAATAGTTCACAGCAGCCTCAGGAAAATGTGGCAAGCACCATCGCCGACATGACGGCGGACTTTTACCAAGCGATCAC